ATGTATCATCTGAGTGGAAGGAAGGGGGGGGTAGGGGGTCGGCCTGGGAAAGGTTGGGAGAGAGGGGATAAAGGGGGTTTTGTGTGCGAGGGGCTTGGACTTCCGCGGGCATCTACTTTTGATAGGATAAAGGGGAGAAAAAAGGTTTTTAATACTTACGTCTTTTGGGTGTGACAAAGAAACATTAGAAGGGGTTCGGAAACCGGCAGGCTGGATTGAGTCCGGGAGGGGGAAGTACAGGCCTGCACTCAAAGGGGGGGTGTTAATGTTGCTTTAAAAAAAATTTGTGTAAAGCACCCTCGGCAAGACAGTGAGAGTGAATGTGGTAAAAGGGTTTTTTTTTTTCGGGCCACCCTCCTTGGGGGGAAGGGCCAGTGTATAAAAAAAAATAAAAACCTCTATGTTTGGCAAATTTTAAAACGATTCCCCGGGGAACTATGAAAACGGGGACCCGTAATGCTTGTCTGTATGTTATGTGACCTAAGTGTAATAGAAGTAGCAAGAAAAACCTAAAAATCTTGCATGTTTAGAGAAAAAAAAAAAGAACCAGCATCCACCATATTAAACAATACAGGTTTCCATTTTAACACCACTTAGGGGAGGGATTCCTTCCTGGCATTCTGTCTCCCAAAACCTACTACCTGGGTTTGTTGCGAACTTCAAAAACCTTATTAAACAGCCACTATTTCTGTGAAAGGGGATAGCAATCTGCCCTCTAATCAACTCTATGGGTATAATTTTTAAACCCATATTCCTCTTACTTGTTAAATTCATGTGTACGGGTTTTTTGATTTTGTACTCCTTGTGGAAGCTTATGTGAATTATTTGTGAGGAATGAGGCCTTCATTCTCGAGAAGTTGGTAAGAAAGAAAATCCCCCGTGTTTGTATGTATCAAATTAACATAAATCAATCCCCCTTTTGAATTTTTTTTTTTATGTAAATGACGGGTAATAAGCACACCCAAAAAATTAATACTAAATATTTTAACTTTTTACTAACACTGAATTTTTAAAAAAGGGTTTAAATTTGGAGGAGCTGTACTTGCCTGAAAAACGATAGGCAACTGTTAAAAATAATTTTTCTGAGCGTCGTGATCAAAGTCATTTCTAGCAACCTTTTGGGCATTGCTTTACCACCTCACTCCGCTTAGAAATAAAAAGAGCAGTGTTTAAAGAGCAGGGATAGCTCAGGCAGAAAGTCCCCCCAGGAAGATCTCCAAAGAAATCCGTTTGGAGAAACAGACAACTTGACTCCCTTTTGGCCGAAATCAGAAAAGGCGACACTATAAAAAAGTGAGGATTGTATTGATGTATTTCATTATACACAAATTTTATGGGTCATTCAGTTATAATACTGATGGGGGTTTCAAGCCTCCACTTTTAATAGCAGCTCGGTTATGGCCGTCAGATTTTTTGTGGCTTAAATCATTGTAGTACCATTATTCCTTTACAGGGGGACCCCCCGTTTAAAACGACCCCTCCCAAGCACCAATTTTATAAGTTTTTTTTGTAAGTGCTTTGTACTTGTATGTTTGGGGGTTGAAAGGACTAATTACTTCACAAATTTTCCTAGGAAACAAATTCGGTCAGTACTGGCACCTGACTACTTCTGGAATGAAAAAAATCTTTAACCTGGGGTCCCGTATATATATTGCTATTTGTTAAACTCTTGTCTGATAATATTTAAATAGACATTGTATGTAAAAATTTAAAATTTTTTTTTTAATTTGGGGCTGCTCCCTTTTGCAGGGGCACCAGATATCAGTTCAGATCACCCCAAAGACAAAAAAATAAGCAAAAAATCTTTACGCACATCTTCTTACTGAAATTTTTCTACCTTGGGTAATGGAAAATGTTGTTTACCATAGAATTCATAAAATTATGGTTTCAAAATCTGAGCACTTACTGTCGGTGCATTTTTAACACTGTTTAAATTTTACAGAGGGGATTTTTTTTCCCCAATTTAAAATTATGCTACATAGATACTAAATCTCTTCAGTTGGAAAAAAGGTAAAACCCTTTTTACAAACCTTTTCCATGTTTTGTGTTTTTCAGGATTGGTTTAGCTTTATATTTCGGGTGTAGAAAGTTTTAAATATTTTGCATAATATTTGGGGAGAGCACTCTTATCTGAGAAATAAAAACTTTTGGGGCCATATTCTGTTTCCTTTTTTAAAAAAAAAAAAAATGAAAAAAATTATAAAGAAAAAGGGGTGGGGGTCTTTATACTCAACCCTTTTTTTATCTATTGCATTCCACTTTTGTAGTCCTTAATTTCTGTGGTTAAACCAAAATTTTAATTATGGGTGGCCTAGGTTTTAAGGAAAAAGGAATATTTATGTGTAAATTCAAGAAATTTTGTGGATTAAAGAAAGGTTATGGAAGGGGAAAAAAAATAATTGTAATTCAAGAATTATGGGATTTAAAATAAAGGGTTTGGGTGCGGGAAATGGGTCATAATAAGGTGTAGCACCGGAAAGAGAGGAATGCAGAGGGGAGAAGAGATTTTGGGAGTGTTAAGTGAATGTATAGGAGCCTTTGAACCAAGTAAGAGTAATTGTGGTAGGGGACTTGAATGCTAAATAGGGAAAAATTTTTGAGAGGGTTTGGTGGTAAATTTGGGGTGCCCGGGGTAAAGATAATGGGGGGCCCTTTTATTGAACTTTGTAAAGAAAGGGGTTTTGTTTTTGGGAAAAATATTTTAAAAAAAAGAGGATAAATAAGTATACACGATATGAGTAGGGCGAAATGACATATTTGTTGGGTTATGTATTTGGTAGAAAAAACTGTTGAGTAACTTCGGATGTTAAAAGTTTATAGAGGGGCCCCGTATATCAGATCACTTTTAGTTGTAGTACACGAGAGAAAAAGATGGGGTACAAGGAGAATAAAGCATCAGGGAAAGGAAGGGGAAGGGTTAAACTAAAAGAGGAGGGGTTTGGGAAATTAAACACTATTGGGAGATAGATGGGCTAATGGGGCATAGGCAATGGGGGCAAGAGGTATGGGGTAGGTTTAAAAATTAGTTTAGAGTTTCAGCAGAATTTGTGGTTTCAGGAAATGTGCAGGAGGGAAAAGGGGCGATTGGGGGAATGTGATGTGAAGAGAGTAGTAAGGGGAAAAAGTTACATATGAGAATTTTTACAAAGAGAAGTGATGCAAGGGGGAGAGTATATGGGGAAAAAAAGAGAAGTTAAGAGAGTGGGGAAGCAAGAAAAAAAAGAGCAAAAAGAGAGAGTGGGGGAGATGTTATCAACAAATTTTGTTGAAAATAAGAAAAAAATTTGGAGTGGGTTAACAAGTTAAAAAGCCTAGAGAACAAGTGGGTTTGCATTAAAAATAGAAGGGGAGTTTAAAAGGAGAGTTAGAGGTTTGGGGAAAATGGAAGGAATATTTTGGGGAAATTTTTAAATGGTGGTTAAAGGGGGGGGGGGGTTTTTTGGGGGGGGGGGGGGGGGGGGGGGGGGGAAAAGGGGGGGGGGGGGATTTGAAAAGAATATAAAAGGGGGGTATATAGGGAGGGGGGCAAATTTTAAAGTTTGGAAGAGGTTAAGGTTGGGGGGTTTCAAGGCAGTGTTCCTTTTTATTAAAAACAAAGGGGGATAAAAGGAGTAAAAATTTGGGGGGTAAAATTGGAGTGTTGGTGGATTAATTATAAATTTAAAAAAAAAGGGGAAAAGGAAATAGGGTGCAGAGACAAGGGGGGGAAAAAAGGGGGGGGGGGCCGGTGTTTAATAAAAAAAATGGGAAAAAAAAGAAAGGCAAAATTTTTATTTTTGGGAAAAGGCGTTTTAAGGGGGTAGGGGGGAAGGGAAGGTAAGTTATTTGGGAGGATAGTTAGAAACGGAAAGTTTTTTGAGGAAATGACAAGGGGTTTAGGAAAGAGGGAAATTTTTTCCCCGGTGGTTTACAAAGGATTTTTGACCGTTTTTTAATAATTTTAAAGGGTTTTGGATAAAAGGATTTGGAAAAGGCGGGATAAAAATGGAAAAAACCCCAAAGTGGGAAATTTTTCAAGTGTTTTTTGGGGAAGTGTTTGGGAGATTTTAAGAGGTTTTTAAGAATTTTGGGTGAATTTGGGATGTGAAAAAAAGAAAATTTTTAAAAAAAAAAAAAAAAAAAAAAAAAAAAAAAAAAAAAAAAAAAATGGGAAAAGGAAAGGAAGGGGATGGGGAAAAAGGGGGGGGTTAAAAAATTTAAAGGGGGGGAAAAAAAGAGGGGGTTTTCAGGTTTTTTGGGGGGAAGGTGGGGGGTTAGAAATTGGAAAAAAAAAAATTTGGTATTGGAGGGGAAAAGAAGGGAAAAAAAGTAATAAGAAAGAAGGGGTTAAGGGGGGTTAAATGGAACCAAAAAAGGATTCGTTTAGGGGAAAGTTTTGAATATCAAGAAATTGAGGGAAGTTGGAGGAGGGGCGGGGTTCCCAAAAAACTGTTGTCCAGAGGGCTGAGGAAAGGGGTTTTGTTGAGGTGGTTGGGACATGTAGAAAAGAATGGAGCGAAACAGATGACTTCAAGAGTGTATCCAGTCTGTAGTGGAAGGAAGGCGGGGTGGGGGTCGGCCTAGGAAGGGTTGGAGGGAGGGGGTAAAGGAGGTTTTTGTGTGCGAGGGGCTTGGACTTCCAGCAGGCATGCGGTGAGCGTGTTTGATAGGAGTGAAAAGGAGAAAAATGGTTTTTAAAAACTTGAAGTGCTGTTGGAGTGTGAGCAAAGTAACATTTATGAAGGGATTCAGGGAAACCGCAGGCCGGACTTGAGTCCTGGAGATGGGAAGTACAGTGCCTGCACTCTGAAGGAGGGGTGTTAATGTTGCAGTTTAAAAACTGTAGTGTAAAGCACCCTTCTGGCAAGACAGTGATGGAGTGAATGATGGTGAAAGTTTTTCTTTTTCGGGCCACCCTGCCTTGGTGGGAATCGGCCGGTGTGATAATAAATAAAAATAAAATACTTAATATGAAACACAAATTGCCCAAAATTCTGAGCCTAAATTATTTTGTTTTAAAGAGCACTCCTGATGGTGCTGCCTCCTCGGCAACCACATTTCCCCAAGAGGTCCCCATGATCCACGTGTCCTCACGGAACATAGATATGGAGCTAGTTAAGTGGCTTCAGTCTCTAGCGATAGATCGTGATGTTATTGACAAGGTAATGAAATGTGACACAGTAATGCTTTTCACATGTGCAGAATGAAAATCTTAGCAGACACAGTCCTGATATATATAGATAATTTTCACACTCATGGTAGAATATACTAATCCATTGTGTATATTTGCATATTTAGTTCCTTGCTGAAGACTACACCAAAGAGGATGTACTCAATTGGATGACACATGATGACCTGAGGAGGATGAGAATGAGGTAAGTTTATTACCCACAAAATTATAATAACACAATTGCAAACAAATCATGAAATGGGTGGGGATTGAACTTGTGGCAAGTGACCCCTAAAACTCCCGTCCAATCCCCACCTATTCCATGGTTTGGTAGGTAAATTTATTGTTAGAGTATAGAGTGTAATATATAGCAAAAAAACATTTGGCAGAACAGTTTGAGAATTTTTAGCAGAAAAAATCTGTGTATTAAATTATAGCGTGTGTGTTAGATTAGTTACACATTACTTGATCATATGCTAATCTAGAAATGTTTAACAGAGGAGGGGTTGAACTTCGTATTTGGCGTAACATGGTACAGCATCGTCAGGCCATGGGTCTACCCATTCATCCTGGAGATCCTAATGTTTCAGCATCAGTCTCCAGGAGTGTTCCATCAGAACCACACTCACGTTCTACTAAATTATAAAACATGCTCAACATCCGATTTTGACACTGCTTTCCTATTTTATGTGTAAAAACATATTGTTCATAGGTGTTCTTGTATATGATGGGCTTAATTCATCAACACATGCAGGTCTCTGTGTCTTGGACACATTGTTGTAGTATTAATAATAAACTCAATCAAAATTGAGTGAATTACTGACAAACACACTCAGCTTGCCAGAGTAACTGCTTAAGTGGTGATGTCAGTGGTGCTCTATCTCTTCAGTCATGCTGACTTGTACTCAGTGTATTATGCAGTGATTCCATCCCAAGCTGTCTCCCTTGGTGCTAGACTAACTAAGAGTTATTAAATGAATTTTTTAAACTTTTTCTATGCTTCCTGTGATTGGAAATACAGTTTCCAATATGGATGATTTTATAAAACTATGTTAAGGAAAATGCTTGTAATCTGTGGTGCTGTAGTTGCCTTGCCAACATTATTATAAGTAGAGATGTATATATGTATTGTATTTGTAAATAACAGTAGTAGTTTTTATTAACTGCTTGATATAAAAAACACTATAATGCCTTCATAGGTTGTGAATGCACTTTATATTAGTTGTTTAAGCATATATAATTGCTGTTTATTTTCAGCATCCAAAACCTATGCCATTTTGATTTTTTAATCATGATTTTGTACAAACTTTAGATTGTTAAGGATATGACAGAATTATCATATTGAAAATGTTGAAATGCCACAACAGTGTATTGGCCTACTGTTTTTTTTTTTTTTTACCAACTCCCTTTTCCCAAGCTCAGTCATGAGTTACCACTTCTATTTATAAAAAAAAATGTGTGTGTGTGCATGTGTACGCACGCACATGCATGCATGTGTGTGAGTGAGTGAGTGAGTGTAGAGAATTAAAAGATGATTTTTGCTTCATTTATTGGTGCAGTATAATTGTGTGAAGCCTTGCAGCTTAACCTATCTTTCTCTCTTTCTTTCTCTCTTTCTCTTTCTTTCTCTTTCTTTCTCTTTCTCTCTTTCTCTCTTTCTTTTTCTTTCTTTCTCTCTTTTCTCTCTTTCTTTCTCTTTCTCTTTCTTTCTCTCTTTCTTTCTCTCTTTCTTTCTCTTTCTCTTCTCTCTCTCTCTCTCTCTCTCTCTCTCTTTTTTCTTTTTTTTTTTTACACAGGGTTTGACAAGGTTAAGGATCCCTAGCTTTATTGACAACTATTTACAGGTTAAAAGGACCCCCAACTTTTTTTGGAAGCTAAGAGTGTTACCTCTCGCTCTTTGAAAAGCTTTTTTTATTGTTATGAGACATACAATTAGGAAAACAATGAAGTTGGAGCCATTGTGGGCCACATTTTCATTTGATCAATGACTTTTCTCGTTGCATCATTATGCTGTAAGGTTTTTCCATACCGACCCATCCTGGGTATGTATGATCCAGATGGGTGATTTCGGAAAGGGGTACGCCAAATGAATTGCTGCTTTCTGCCCTCTTATGGATAAAAGCTTTTTTTCATTGTCCCGAAGTGGATCCAAAGTTGGTATTTTGACAATATTGGCCTTGTACAAAACGTAAGGCCACCCACTCCCTCCTTGTTAAAGGGCTCTGCTGAATGACAGATCTACCCAAAGATGGGCCGGGCGAAGTGAGACGTTTGCTCTGTCTCTACCTGTCAAGCATCGCAATGAAGGGGGGGCAGGCAAAACCCAAAAAGTGGAGCATATCCCCAAAGGGGGTTTAAAAATATTGTGCCCGACAGGATTCTTGCAAACCCACTGTCAAACAGATGTGAAATACGGGAAAATGCTGTAACTTTCCCGGCTGCCTTGTTTGCAAGATTTACAAAAATGGTTCTTCATGATTTTTTTGGAGTCAAAAATTTACCCCAAGGATATCAACTTTCTCCGTGCCCCCACCCTCCCCTTCATCCTATAATGCACCACATTACCATCATGGTGCCTAGAGACGATTATCATTTGCGTTTTCCCAGGGTGCAAATGTTCCCTCCATCTTTTTTCCCCAAGCGATATAGCTCTCACTGGTGTTTGATGTAGCTTAGAGCAGCTGGTTTTTCTTCTCTTGGATAAGTGAAGTCAGTGTACAGTCGTCTGCAATCATTTGTTTTCTGGATAGTGAAAAAAGGTCGTTGAAGTAGCTTTTCCATAACAATGGACCCACCGCTTCCTTGGGGAAACCCTTGCCCAATAGGAGTCTTGTTGATTCCGTTCTTTTGGGAAAAACTAACTTAGAGTTACCAAAAGGAAATCACAAAGGAGACATAGCGTAGGCCTGCAATTCCATGCTTGAATTTTTTGCTAAAGGCCCTGGTCCCCCCCCCGGGTAAAAACCCCCAGCAATGTCCGTGCTACCACACAGCTGACTTTGGATTCATCCATGGCGGGTCCACTTAGTGGAGAGGTTTAATAACGATCAGCACAAGAAAAACCTTTCTGAACCCCATATTGACGATCAAAAAGTAGTGAGTGGTATAAAAAAAAACTGTCATTTGTCTTAAAATTATTGTTCAAGGACTTACAGTGATTGGGGGGACAGGAGTGACACGGGTCTTTTTTTCTGATTTCTGCTCTGTTCTTCTTTTTGTGAACGGGATACATTTGCCTTTTCCATAGAGAGGGCCATTACACTGACTAGCATGCTGAAAATGCGATTTAAAGGGGTGCTGCTACTGGCCCCTGCAACATTTTCTCAAAAATCTGGGCTAAAACTTGCTGGGCCCACACCTTTCTTGGCAAGCAATTTTAAAAAAAGGAAGGCCCTCCTCCTGCCTTTTTGTCCCCACTGCAGTTTTGAAAAACAGTTCTTGAAGTACCCAAGGGGGGTTTTCCTTCGGGATGGGGAATTGCATTTTGGTAGAAAAGGTTTTTCAGCAAAAGGCCCCTTCTTGATATTAGAGGTGGTCCCCCCTGTCTTTAAGTGAATAAGTTCATCAGGCAGATAACCTTGTCTTCCTTGACCAGGGACCACCAGGTTTTTTATAGCCTACCCTACCTGATGCAGCTTTCTTTTAGTGTCCACCTCCCATTAGCAATGGCCCACTTTTGAACACACCCATATGCCTAAGCTTGCATGTCAAGTTCCTTTTGGGTGGTAGGATTCTCTTATACCTTCGCATGCTTTTTTACTTTTGCTTGCAGCCCCCTTTTACAACGAAAAACCAAAACCAAGGCTATCTTAGGGTTCTCACATATTGCCGTAGGAAAGTGTTCTTGTTTTAGATTAAGGTTTGCCCAGGAAGGGTTCATCGGTTGTCAAAATCCCCTTTTGGGGAAGAGCTTCCAAACGGTGGTGGCAGCCAGAGCAAAAAGGGGTGGCCAATTTACCCCTTTCCCAAGCCAGGTTGTGCGTGTGGAACTCCCCACCCCGTTTGTTTGGGAAAACTAAGTGCGAAAAAAAAAAGCCTTGTGGTCAACGATCCAACGTAGCCGGGGGGTTTACAATGACTTTCCTTCGCCGATCCCCTACTACGGGTCAAGGAGGGCCAATTATTTATAGGGGGAAAACAACAAAGTTTTTCCATGTCAAACCCCCTGCAAAAAGGGCTCAAATCCCCCCCTGTATAAGGTGTGGTTTTAGGGACCAACAATTAAATATGTTGACAAATTGTGTTTTAGCAGAAGGGAGTTTATTTTCCATTTGGAAAATTGATGGGTCTGCAGTTGCCCTGAGGCGTAAAGCACATGCTAGTACAGAGGTATAGTGTTTTTTACAGAGCTTGAAGAACATCATTTCCCGATGTGTAGGGGTGGCAACATCAATGTGCTGGGCATGAACACTTTTAGAGAAGCACACAGCAACACCTCCTCCTTGCCCTTGCCTGTCTCTTCTCATCATGAGGTGTAGCCAGCAATTCTTGCAAAATTTTCTGGAGTCCTGTCATCCAAAAATGTTTCAACACACAGCTATCATGTCGGGACGCCGAGTGTTCACAAAACTATGTGTGAGCTCTCCAACATTAGTAATGAAACCTCTAATGTTGGCCGACAGGATGCTGATCTCTCTCTCTTTCTCTCTCTCTTTTCTCTTTCTCTCTCTCTTTCTCTCTCTTTCTCTCTCTCTTTCTCTCTCTCTTTCTCTCTCTTTCTCCTCTCTTTCTCTCTCTTTCTCTTCTTTCTCTCTTCTCTCTCTTTCTCTCTCTCTCCTCTCTCTCTCTCTCTCTCCTCTCTCTCTCTCTCTCTCTCTCTCCTCTCTCTCTCTCTCTCTCTCTCTTCTCTCTCTCTCTCTCTCTCTCTCTCTCTCTCTCTATTTGTCTCTATCTCTGTCTGTCTCTGTCTCTCTCTCTATCTCTATATTTCTCTCTCTATCTCTCTCTCACTCTCTCAATGTTTATTGGAAAGTGTTCAGTCAGGTTATTATCTTTGCCTTTTCATTGTATTCTCATTTTTTCTATGACATCTCTATATAAGACCTGCTGTTTTACCATATCTGGATTCTTAAATATTCATTTTAAGTAGTTGCATGAGCGACCTGGTTAGTACTGAATGTTATGCTCTAGGAAAATAATAGGAACACCGGCCAACAAAGGTTTTGCATCATGTTTAAAAATGTGTTTCTAACTAATTTTGGGAGGCTGAATTCAAATCCAAACTTGGTTTTGCTCTAACACTTACAGTTTCTCTGAAATTGAACCCCATGGAGAACAATTTCACCAAGACATAACCATTGTGGAGAAAGATATCGTGGAAACCTGATGATTAGTTTGATGGCTGACTACTGCTGGACACTAGTGCAGGAGAGTAATACTGAACACAAGCAAAAAAGCCTGATAACTGTGATGTAAATATGTTTCTATGACTGGAAATTTTGTTATTTTTGTTATGCTTACATGTAATGAATTTACATTAAGAAAGATTAGTTTTTGTCATGGCATGCACCACACTTAATATCTATGCATAATATAATACTTGTCATTGTTAGGTAAAATATATTACATGGTTGTTCAACCTGAAATACCCAAAATATTGATTATGAGATTTAAAAAAAAAAAAAACTTACATGATAGGGACTAGACAAGCTCCAATTTGTGATCAGCATATCGGAGTTAGCTTAAAACAATCAATTTGGTTTCTGAACTGGATAAAAAGTTAAATTTTGTTGGCTAGTGGTAATTAGCTAACTAGGTTCACATATGATGATTAAAGAAAAATAGCAAAATAAAGTATGTAAAACAAGTGTTGTTAAGCAGGGTTTAGCATTTTGTGTCAGTATGTAAGGTAATTTTAATTGTGATATCTACACACTTTTGGCAAGACAGCTATTGAATGAATAATGGGGTGAATGTTTTCCTCTCTCTGAGTTACTCTACTTTGATGGGAAAAGGCCAGTGTGGTAAAAAAAAAAAAAAAAAGTGCTGTTAGAGAGTGATGCCTTAACTATTGCTAATTAAGTAAGTTTACCAGTAAGTGTATTGCTAGTTAAAAATACCAATAGTTGTGATGGGTGCCTGTGGGCAGGCCTGACTATACAGTTTCACCACTCACCCTTCCATGTCTGGTAGTTACCATCACATACAAACTAAAATCAACAACAAAATATTTTGTGGATTGAAATAGGACATTAAATTGAAGTAAGTATCAAATATTTAGTATTATGTTAATAATTTAATATAAAATTTAATTATTTCTCCTTCCCCTTGCCTCAAAAAATTTACCCATAACTGTGAGGCATTCAACTGGCTGTTTAATTATCCCAGCGTCCCTTCCCCAGTTCCATCGTTGCACACAATCGAGCAAGTACAGCTTTTGCTAATTAATTATATTAAAAAGTTTAGATATAGTAAAGAGTAGGAATGAAAATTAAAGTTGTTACATTAAATATGTGTTGGTAAGTTGCATACTTTTTTAACTTACCCAGTGAGAATAGACGATGGGTATCAATGGAAGAGTGCGCTCTAGAATGGTGTATTGAGACATTTATTAAAGTTATGAATTTATGTTTGAAGTTGAGTAAAGTAATCAAAACATTTGTGATTTATTTATCTTGGAATGTATGTATAAGATGACAGATATAAGAGATGGATGAATAACTAAAGTGTAACTTACATTCAGTGCTCAATAATAACCCAAGTGGGCTCTG